AACAAGCATTGTATCTAGTCATCATTTGCAGTGTTCATAAAAAAGAATCTCTACCTAAAAGAAAAAAAAAAAACCCTAATTATAGTAGAGAAAGATTTGCCCTTAAAGTGAAGACATTTCTGTCTTATAAATATCATTCTTTTAAATGACATTTAAATGTCATTTAAGTGAGATAGGGAAGTAAACTCAATTTCTGATCTTCTGTTTTGAAAGTAAGTGATAAATAACTGACACACTGAGATTTTTCCGCTGAAAATAAATGTCTTTGTTACTCTCAGACATCATGGTGATGTGGGTGAATATGAGGCGCTTAAAGTAGGTTTTACTGAGCCCAGCTTCACAGAGTAAATGCCAATTGAATCATAAAAGCCAGAACTAAAACCTCTTGTGTTTATATGTCCTCCTTTCCTCCCTTGTTATTGGGAATACATGGCTGATCTTTAAAATTAGGTTGCTTGAAGGTACTGTTGGTTGTGAGCATTAGTGTCACTTCACTTTAAAAGTAAATAGTAATGGGTTTAGAAGCATAGGTTCTGGGGTCCCATTGCTGAAATTTATGGCCCCTCTCTAGCCACTTTCTTGCTGAGTGACTTTGAGCCTAACCTCCCTGTGCCTGCTTATCTTCAAATGGAATCCATAAAGTCTATGTCATAGGATTAGTTTGAAGTTTAATAACACAGTGATTGATAATTATTAGATGGTATTCTTACTTCTGATACATCAGATTGCTGCTTTAACTGGGGAACATTGAGACAGTTTGGGATTCCTTTAGAGTGTAAAATAAGGGACAAATATTCTTGGGAGAGGAAGTAGCTGTCAGTTGTGGTCTCAGATCTAGAGATATGGAGATGTGTGAACTTGACCTGCTTTGGTTACTTTTTGTAGTGTATAGCTTAATAACTGTTAACACATTAAATGATGAAGTACATATTTCTGTTTTTCTAGGCATATAACTTGAAGTTACTATGTTTGATCATTTAAAGCAAAATACTCTAATTTGTTTTATGCCAGCATTGAATCCTATTCATTTCTGCATATTTTAAGGAAAGCTGTTGATGTATAACACAGTATTTCCCTTTCAGAACTTTATAAAATAACTGCCGCTCTTAATTTTTTTCAACTAAGGTAATTCATGTTTTTGTTTTTTTTTAAAGCTCCTAATTAAAAATACAATACACCCAAATTATATTACTGCTTTTCTTTCTTTAGTAAAGTTCTCATCAGTTAGATAAAGGTCTGATCTAGCTTGATGATGGGAACTTATGTGAGGGTCATTATATCATAACTCTATTAGCAGGCACCAAATATAGCACATTTCTGTTACTTTTTTTGGTCTGTTTTCTCTGCTAACTAGATGGAAAGCGTCTAACTGGGAGCTAGACTTTTTGTACATTGTGAGCATCTGACTATTTAGTTAATTCTTGTTCATTGTGTTCTTACATCAGTAAATCTGTATTCAACAGGAGTATAACAAAAAGGTTTTCTGGATCATCTAAAATAAGGGTGGGAGAGGGGATGAGAAATGGGATGGGTGAGCTGGGCAGAGCCTTTTACATTCACAGTCCTTTTTTCTTAATGGTTTATCACTTTATTTGGAGACATTTTTGTGTACTCCACATGTACTCTATGTCAGTAATTCCGTTGGAGCCATTAGCTCTGATCTCACTTTTGAAATGCAGCTACAAGCTAAGACTAGAGGTAACCAGAAAGAGTTCGTTTGTATCAATGTGTGCCAATACCAGTACTTATACCTGAGCAGAAAGGTGGGATTTCATTCACGCACTCAGTGTTACTGAATGTTCTGTATATACGAAGAACTGGTGGGGAGTGAGTAGGGTAGAGCAAGTTGGAGCTGTGGTTGAAGAGAGAAACACAAGAAATGGAGGACAGGGCTTTCCCAAAATAAAATCAGGGTGTGATTAAGAGACTAAGAGGAAATCGATGCTCAGCAGGCAGGAAAGACACCATCCTAGTAGGTGAAGTGATCTAATTAGCTGGCATCTCATCTGCTGCGTGACTTTCAGCTTTGGTCATACTGAAAGAGCCTGGTACATGGGATTAGACAGTAGGCTTCTTCGTGGACTCTACCCAAAGACCAACCCAAAGGAGCCAGTGAGGGTCACGTTAAGCCAAGTGAAGCACCATTGTTTCATGGGTTTTAAAAAATAAGATTTTCATTTTAGAACAGTTTCAGATTTATATAAAAATTCTAAATATAGTACAGAGTTCCCATATACCCCCCTCCCAGTTTGCCCAATTATTAACATCTCACATTAATATGGTATTTTTTTGCAATTAATGAACCAGTATTAGTATATTATTATTAAGTACAATCATATTTTATTCAGGTTTCCTTAGTTTTTACCTGATTTCCTTTTTCTTTTTTAGAATCCCATTCAGAACAGCATATTACATTTAGTAGTCATGTCTCCTTAGGCGCCTCTGGTCTGTGACAGTTTCTCAAACTTTTCTGGTTCTTGATGACCTTGACAGTTTTCAGGAGTGTACTGGTCAGGTGTCTTGTAGAATGTCCCTCAGCTGGGATTTGTCTGATATTTTTCTCATGATGAGTCTTGGGGAGGAAGACCACAGAGATAAAGTGCCATTTTTGTTATGACATATCAAAACAAAAGTGCCATTTTTGTCATGACATTTGTTATGGCATATCAAGGACATGACATGTCCACATGACTCTTCCCTGTGGATATTGACCTTGATCATATGACTGAGGTAACGTTTGTCAGGTTTCTCCATTGTAAAGTTACTCCTTTTTTCCTCTTTCCCATACTGTTTTCTCTAGGAGTCACTATATGCATCCCATGCTTAAGGAATGGGGAGTTATGTTCCACCTTCTAAGTAGAAGAGTTTCTATATAAATTGTTTAGAATTCTTCTGCCTGGAGGTTTTGTCTCTTCTCCCCCGTTGTTTATTTATTCATTCATTTATTTATACCAGTATGGACTCACAGACATTTATTTTATACTTTGGGCTTTAATTACTGCTTGACTTATTGCTCAAGTTGTTCCAGCTTTGGCCATTTGGGAACACTTACTGTTAAGTATTACATCTGTTTGACATATTCCCATCAATGCACGCCTTTTTTTTTTTTTTTTTTTTTAAGCACTTTCTGGCACAAGTTGCTCCCATTTCATCTTGTGTATTTCCTGCCCCAGTTCTAGATTCAGCCATTTCTGCAAGGAGCCCCAGTTCCTTTTATTGGGGAATGGTAGTAGAACCCAAGATCTAGGTGCTAGATGTGCTTTTGCTACTGGGTTGTAATACATGTGTGTATACTAACCTGTGTATATGCCCATCTGTAAATATTTCTACATGCAACCATCTGTATCTGTATTAAGCTCAACATGAATTTGTACTGATGTTGCCAACTCTAAGCCATTACCGCATAGATTGTTCTAGCCTCCTTCCCTTGCTTTTGTGTAAACTCTTATTCCGACAGTGAGAAATCTCTCACCATCCACCATCCATATATTTAATTGTTCAATTCCAGTGTACATGTGTAGCAGCGTCAGGATGGTTAACCCAAACCGCTGTGGAAAATAACTTTATTAACTAGAGATAGTGCTTATGTACAGTTTCTGTTGCCTTTAGTCTTACAGATTCCACTCATTTCCAAATTACTTAGGTCAGCACCTTTCCCCACTCCACTCTGCTTCAGGGAGATGGTTTCACACCTTTGCTATGTAGTTAAATTGTTTTGTCATATTCTGTAGTCCATCTTGGGATTCCTGATCTCCTAAATGATTTTTTTAAATTGCATACAGTAGGTTCACACTTTGTGCTGTGAAGTTCTGTTTTTGACAAATGCATAGTGTAAATTGCATCTACCATTACAGTATCATACAGAAGAGTTTCACTGCTTTGAAAAATTCCTTATGCTTTCCTTATTCCACCCTTCCTTTCTCTCTCCAAACCCCTAGCAAGCACTGATCTTTTTACCATCTCTGCAGTATTGCCTTTTCCAGAATGGCATATACTTGAAATCACAGAGCATGTAGCCCTTTCTTTTACTTTTTATCGCTAATATTCCACTGTATGGTTAGTCCACATTTGTCTCTTTATTCAGCTATTGAAGGACATCTTGATTGTGTCCAGTTTTTTTTTTTTTTTTTTTTTTTTGCGATATGTGGGCCTCTCACTGTCGTGGCCTTTCCCGTTGCCGGACGCGCAAGCTCAGCGGCCATGGCTCACAGGCCCAGCCGCTACGCGGCATGTGGGATCCTCCCAGACCGGGGCACGAACCCGTATCCCCTGCATCGGCAGGCGGACTCTCAACCACTGCGCCACCAGGGAGGCCCCTGTGTCCAGTTTTTGATGATTATGAAAAAAAAGCTGCTCTAAGGAGATGCTTGCAGATTTTTGTGTGGACATAAATTTCCAAATCAGTTGGGTAAATATTTAGGAGCACAATTGCTGGATTGTATGGTAAACGTACGTTAGCTTTTTAAATACCCTGTCTTTGCACTGTACTCAGTTTCTTGGAATGGAATAATCTCCTTTTGCCATTCTCCTTGCCCACTCCCCCACCAAGTCCGTTTTGACCACTGATCCCAGGTCCTGTCATCACTACAAATGAGCAAATGATATAGAACTTCAGCTTACCATTTTGGGGGGAAATAAAATCCTCTAGTGATATTTCCTATGTGTTTATGTTATTTTCAGTTAATCTATCAGTGAAAATAATCAGCTGCATCTAGTTGAATTTTACTGTTTTGTGCTTTCTGGCAGTATAGCAGGAGTAAATATTTTGTGAGTGGCTTACATAGCCTGTAGGTTGTTAAAAATACTCTCTAATTGGGTTGTATTGTTTTGGTTTCATAGTTACTAAAATGCTGAAGAACTAGTCAGATTTTTCTCTTCAACCATCACCGTCAAGCAGTATATTTTCAGAATATTAAGTTGTAGTAATTAACTTTAAAAGATTTTATTTAAATGAAATTTATGTTCCCGTTAAGTGACAATACGTTCTGTTTCCTTCACAGCATTTATTCAGTCGGAGGGCATAATAGAAGTACTACGTTTTGATGACGGAGGGCTTCTACAGGTAATTTTATTCTAAGCTTGAAGAATTCTCTCCGTGTCAAGCCTTGAATAACATCTGATTATTGTTTTTCTTTTAAAACGTAACTGGTTCATATGAAATATATTTTATGAGCTTCATATGCAGACAGGGCAGTAGAGTCATTGGTAATAATAAAGACCTCCATAGCTGTAGGGATTACCTTTTAAATAAAATATTTCTGGGGGATGTTGAGAGGTTAGGTGGGGAGAGTTAGATCAGGAGCAGTGGAATTGGTGGTAAAAGCTCTATTAGTATGGAGCCAGTGAGTGAAACGCTGAATTCGGATGTTGGACCGCAAAATATTTATCTGGAAGAGAACTTCTCCAGAGGACATAAGTTCTGCAGATTGACATCTATATCATCCTTCCACTAGCCATTCTAAGCCATGTCTTTATATATATTATACATAAAATTAGAAAGTGTAATCTGATAAAAATCCTATTCTGCCTTTCAGACGTAGCTCACGTATCACCGTGAAGCCTATTTTAGTCTTCTCAGCTAAAAAGCAGTTCTAGAATTTCAGAGCTGAAAGCGACAGTAAAAGCCATCTTAACCAACCCTGATTTTTGTGGCTGATTTTCTCCTTCCAAACTTTTTTCATATTCTATGCTTGTCTTACAGTACTCACCACCTTTGTAATAATAACGTGTTTTTAAATACCATGTTATTTGATAGCATGGCTGATAATTTTTTTATTCATGTTATATTCAGGGGAAACCAAGGTTTAGATTAAGAAAGTTGCCCACGATCCCATGACTTCGCAGTAATGGCATGGGTATTAGAATTCTGGTCTTCTCACTCCAGGTGTGGTTGTTAGTCTCTTTGTTACATGATGCTGCCTATGATGTGTTTGTTTACTTATAACTAAATACATGACTTAAATAGTTCTCCTGTAGCTTATAATAAAGGCAGGAAAGTGAAAATTAAAGTTAGATCAAGGCAATAGAGAAATAATTCTGCTAGGGACTTGGAATAAGATTTGTGTTTCCGCATAAATTTAGATTTCAGACACTAAGCCAAACAAAGTAAGCAAGGAAAAAAGTGATGGGTTGTAAGGTTCTTTTTCTCTGACAATGAAGCAAATAAATGTTTCGGGTGAAAACTTCTTCCCTGTTTCTAAATTTTTAAATAAACTTATTATTCTACTTTTACATAAGAGATGTTGAGAAACACAGCAGGCAGTGGCTGCATGGTGCTTGCAGAAAGTCTTTGCATGGCTTTTTATATGTTAAAAGTGAGTAACAACTGAAGATATGTAATGATCTCTAGTTTTGTAAAGCCACCTTGCTAGAAAATGATCTTAGTCTCTTGTTCTAGTTCTTTAATCTGTTGCAAGATGTGAACTTGGAGAACCTATAGAAATCACTGTTTTAAACATCTCCCTTTTGGTGATTTGTAGGATCTAGAGAGCAGGCAACTCTGGACTGAATTTCTAAAAAATTCTCTGAGTGTAGTTATCCTTTACTGATTGAAAAAGGATTTATTATGTCCTTCAGGAACTAGACATCTGGGTTGCAAGTTGATAATCCATTTTGAAAACTCTGAAGCCTGACATGTGTTTTTGCTGGGGGAGGCTGTCAATTCACATCTAAAGGGACTTGGGTGTGGAAGAGCTCGTCAGCTGGCATGTCACTTGCTCATCCTCTTTGGATCTGCTGAAATGCTTGGACCAGAGCTTGGGGGAGGCCTCAGAGTTCTATAGCTAAGGTAATTTTAGACTGGAGTGTTAAGGGCAGGTATTACCACTGGTTACCTCAGCCACAGTGAAATATCACTAAGCCTCCTGCAGAATGTCTAATGTTGAGATGCTATATATAGTGGATTATATATCTGCAAGTAACAGAACATAAGACCCCTCTGAATAGAAATTTATGAAAATCATTCATTTTAATATTGAAGAATGTTTCCTAGAAACAACTGTTCTGATTTTGACATAATGTCATTCTTTCTGGCGATAATTTGCCAATAAGTTCAGCTGTTTCTTAAACAGCTCCTGGTTTCTTGTGATTAGAAGAGAAGTATGTTCATGTAGCATTTCTGTGGCAGAATATATATTGGGTTTCTCCAAATTAAATTAAAGCTAAAGCAGGGAGAGAGTCAAAGCAACAGCCTTGTTTTACATTATTTAAAATTAGAATTTTGCTTGAGAGCATTCGTTCCCAGATTGTGGAATTTATGTTACAGTCATGTGGCTTGGCTCATGGTGATTTTTTTAAGTCCTAAAAATTAATTGATGATAAGTCAGTAAAAATTGTAAAAACATTAAAAATTTGCTAGAAAGTTTGGACTTGATTTCCTATTTTATTTTTAAAGAAAAGGAAAACAAGGCTCATAGAATATTCAGTTGCTAGAGCGAGAATCCAGCATCCAACCGAGCTTCCTGGTTCCAGAGCTCTTTCCACAGTTTGATGCATGTGCATTTCTTTCCAGTGCATTCCATGCGTTATCACTAGTAGTGTTAGAATATGATTGGAAATCGTAGCAATCCTCTTAGCCCATGTTTTCTTTAGTTGGTGTTTTGACCATTGTAATTCCTGCTTGGCAAGGCTACTAAGATTTGGTATATAGAACGTAGGAAGCTGAGTCAGTTCTTAAGGTGAGCAGACACTGAGGATTCTGCCTCAGGATCTTGCTGAGAACCCCAGCTGACACATATAATAAAGGGTATCTATTAAGGAGGAGGGATGTGGAAAAAACTATGGTAAACAACATACTTAACAGTGAAATGCTGAAAGTTTTATCTCTGAGATGAAGAATGGATCAAACAAAGATGCCCACTAAATACCACTTATATTCAACATCATGCTAGTTGTAGCCAATAAAGTAAGACAAGAACAACTACTGAAACTCGTGCACCTAGAGCCTGTGCTCTGCAACAAGAGAAGCCACCGCAATGAGAAGCCCGCGCATCGCAACAGAGTGGCCCCCGCTCACCACAGCTGGAGGGAGCCCGCACACAGCAACGAAGACCCGACGCAGCCATAAATAAATAACTTTTAAAAATAAATAAATTTTAAAAATAAATAAAGACAAGAAAAAGAATTAAAAACTAAAAAGATTGAAAAGGAAGAAAAAAATGTTATGCACCTCAGATTATGATAGTTTATGGGGGTCATCCAAAGCATCTACAGATAAGTTACTAGATTCAATAAGCAATTTAGCAAGTTTGCAGGATAACAGTTGATACATAAAAAACAACTGCATTTCTATGTTTATGTTGAGCCGTATGAATTATACCACTTCTATAGATCAGAAAAGGCAACAGAGTCTAGCCAGACTCACACATATATGGATACTTGATTTATGAATAAAGTGTTGCTGAAGAATATTGGGGAACAGTCAATAAAGGGTGCTAGGACAAGTGAATATCTATATGGGAGAAATAAAACTTTGACCTCACACCAATAACAAAAATAGTCTAACTATTTTGGGACTCTGGAGTCTTTTGGAGGCTTATAGCTTCAAGCGGAAGGCTTGAGGTAAATTCAAGTAAAGTATGGTCCGTCTCAGCTCTTAGCCTAGAAGCGGTTACGCACCCTCACCCCCTAGCCCTGTGGCAAGCAGCTGTGCACGTTCATCAGACAGCTTGCACACAGCTTGCAGAAGCCTGTGGGCAAAAAAGAATTCTGTCCTCCAGATATTGGGGATCCATGCCCTGATTGCTGCTTTTGATCGCAGAGGTTTAGACAGAGAGGCAGGCGGCCGTTATTGTTGCAACTCCCCCATTGTTAAAAGTTCCTCACCCTGAAGTGAACCAGAAGCTTTAAAGGGCTGACAACCTTCAAAAGCCACTGCATATATGGGGGAAATTAGAAAATCACTTTGAATGTTCAGGGAAAGGCCCAGGTTCATAAAACACCTGAGAAGACCTTAAGTTTACACCTCAGGCTTATCTTTGGCACAGACATAGCCTACATCTTAAAGCCAAAAACAATGAACAGAAGCAAACAGATAGCAAACTCTGGAAAAGGAGGAGACTGACACCCAGAGCTACTACATTATTAAATTCGAATATCCAGTTTTAAGCCAAAAATCGCAGTGTACAAAAAGAAACAAAGTATGGCTCATTCAAATGAAAAAATTAATCAACAGAAACTATCTCTGAAAAAGACCTGATGGCAGATCTACTATACAAATTTGAAGTAGATCTACTTTAAAACAGTCATCTTAAGGATGCTCAGAGAACTAAAGGAAGATGTGAAGAAAATCAAGAAAACAATGTGTGAATAAAATGGAAATATCAATAAAAAGATAGAAAACCTAAAAAGAAAACCAAAAGAGGGTGACATCATCAAGATGGCAGAGTAGGCAGCCCTAGCTCTCATTCTTGTACAGAAACACATAAAAGTAAATATTGGGGGCTTCCCTGGTGGCGCAGTGGTTGAGAGTCCGCCTGCCGATGCAGGGGACACGGGTTTGTGCCCGGGTCCGGGAAGATCCCACATGCCATGGAGTGGCTGGGCCCGTGAGCCATGGCCACTGAGCCTGCACGTCCGGAGCCTGTGCTCCGCAACGGGAGAGGCCACAACAGTGAGAGGCCCGCGTACCACAAAAAAAAAAAAAAAAAAAAAAAAAAAAGTAAATGTTGGTACCAAAATACTTTGAAGAGAAATTCAGAATCCATCAAAGAAGCAGAAGTACCCCTAGAAGGGCACAAACTGAGAGCAGTCATATTTTGCTGATAAGAGGAGTACTGACTTTTCTTTAATCTTTCATCTTTTTGTTCCTCAGAATCGAGAATTTCCACTGTCTTATCTTCAAGTTTGATGATTCTTTTGCCTGCTCAAATCTGCCTTTGAATCGTTCTAATGAATTTTCATTTCAGTTTTTGTACAATATTTCAGTTTTTCAAGATGAAGAACTTCTAGAGATTTAGTGTACAACATGACTGTAGGTATAATACTGTATTGTATACTTGAAATTTGCTAAGATAGTAGTTAATTGCTCTCACCAAAAAAAAGAGTATATGAGGTGATCATTTC